GGTACATTCGGAGGTTCCAGTTTAGGGGGACTTACAGGCACAGGCCGTATGGCCTCAAGTTGCCGTCGGCCCATCTCTGGTTCTGGAATGAGATCTGTAAGCGGCCTTGGACCCAATGCCGGACTAATTGGCTCGTCTTCACGACGCCGTGTGCTTGCAACTCGTCAAGTCGACCTGGCTGAATTTGCCTCAGCGTTACCTACACAGACAAGTCTTAAGGTGGTGCTTCGGCTAGCTTCTAAAAAGCTAGTTTCCGCCAAACTCTGCCTGACATTGCATAGTTTTATCCTCAAGGAGGGCGAAGCCACGTATGTTTCTAAATAGATTATGTATAATTTAAAAAGTATTATTTTTGTAAATATGCTTTCATTACTTCATTGCCACGACCGACCACAACTCTCCAAGGCATATTTCGTTTTGGGGTTGTGGTATCTCAAGATTTTGTACGGCCCAAATTCTGTAATTAATTTTGGTTGCTGGACTTTGTTAAAGTAAATTGGAGAGTGATTAATGTTCTGAAAATTTGGTATTTATAAATATAGTCAATGGAAATCCTTATTCGATGCGTGCATGTTGTTATTCATTAAATACGAGTAAATCTATCAATGCATTACTATAGAAAAGCCTTAAATATGCTGAAAATCATGACTGCAATCCAAGTGGTTGAAACCATCTTTCGACATGTTATATATTAAACTTATTAGGAAAGGCAAATCTTTTCAATTTATTCTTCGTTGGGTCAATTACTAGATCCTATATAACACAAATCAAACAATACTGCCTCTCCACTTTGGAAAATATGGCTTCTTGTTGACTTTGACATCGCTGTTATAAGAGCACTATATTTTACAAAAGTATATAGTGTTTGGACCATTTCACATTGCCATCATTTTGTTGTTATTTTCACTTATTCTGGCTCATTTATCACTTCTTTTTCTGGACTTTAGTGATGAAGATATGATATCACTCGCCTCACTGATGTCCCTGAGTCGTCAAGGTAGCTTCAATGTTGGCGCCGGGGTAACTATCAATGAAGTAGGCGGCCTGCCTGGATTGACGGCTCATCTTCAGCAGCGGCAAGAACAGCAGAAAATACATACGGATGGGGCACATTGGTTGCCACATATTTCTAGTAGGCCTAGTTTTTAACTTCTGTCGGCATCATACTTCCATTACATAATTGCCAGAGCTTTAGAAACATACTGGTTATCCGTAGATACATCTTAATTTATGTTTTCGACTTAATGGATGGATGTATTTCAGCCCCTATCTTATATAGATTGGATCAAGTTTATTACTTTTAATTCAGCTCCTGGTCGCTATATCAATCCACTACGCTCGTTACCTAACGCACTTGTTATAGATTCATTAAAAATATATAGGCATCCAGCATTATTTTTTTGCAGAAGAATCCATAATAAGGGTAAATTTCTAGTGTATTTGTCTTATACACCTCTGGAATGGCATAGTTCTGCCAATCTTAAACAAGAGCTGTAGTTAGCCTAGGTCGCATAAGGTGATGAAAGCCTGCTAGTCGAATTTTCCCGTAATCATATGAGTAGATCTCACGATGCCAGTGAATTTAAATTAGACTTGCTTCCCAAAATATAATCTTATCCAGAATGGACTGCAGTTTTGACCTCGCCTTATCCGAAACCTCAACACAACTCTATTACAGATAGAGTAGCGTACAATTTCTGCATGTTACTACTACGTTGCACCGCCACTGGTGCTAGTGGTTCACA